TTAGTATCGCTGTTTTAAATTGGGTTATGCCCCCAAAACCCCAAAACCCCAAAACCCCTTGGCAAATTAAATCAAGATCAAAGCGTTTACATTAATTTATTAAACAATCCAATTGAAAGATCGATTATCATTTTGCTTAATTTATTATTATTTAACCTAAACAGTAAAATGTAAAAATTTTTAAAGTTATGGATCGCATTATTCTACTACCAAACAGTCATTTTAGGCCTCCTATAAGAGATAAAAAATGATAGAAACTTGTTAGTCCTTGGTGGAAACAATTGTTTTTAGGCTTAATAAAAACAAGCATATCCTTAGATAGTGGGAGGAAAGTTAGATGAAACTAGATTTTAATGCTTAGGTTTTGATGCAAATAGAATTTTAGTGGGAGGACTTTCAAGTTCAAAAGATATTGTAAAGAACTCTAATTCTCCTGTAGTTGTCTTCTTAGATGCTATCACAGGAGCTATTGTTTGGCATAGCTAGATTATTTATAAACTATCAACTTAGGTTAGTCCTTCGATATTCACTCCTTATTAATTCACTTTTTGTGCCATTTAAAGCTAAGCGACAAAGTATGCAATTACTTTATCAAAAAATCCATAATTTGGCATTTTTATCATAGAGTATTCAACAGGCAAGCTCTTATCATCATTCTATGGAAGTTAAAAAAAAGCAACTAATTTTGATTTCAATCTCATTCCAGTTTCTGCTGCTATTACAGCAAGTGATGATGTTTTCGTAATTGTATAAAATGGCTAGATTACTGGGATAATCGGTTTTTCATATAAAGAAAAATCCAAAATATCAACGAAATTTTACTTGTTATTAGGTGATTCTACTCAATCGTTTATCCCTAACGGAGTAGAATACTATCTCACAAGCGATCTTTATGTAGGAGGTTCATTATAATTGGATCCATTTTACTTGAAAATTGACCAGGTAAATTAAAATATTAAGTATGGAGTAAAATTTTAAAATCCTAATGGATTATCTCAATAGTAAAAAGCAATAAAAGTCCTAAAAAAATATATATACAACTCAATTACTTCTGTCTTTGTTTGTTCATAATTCTTAGGACCTAATGGGTTTGATTTTGCATTAATTTAGTTTGAAGAATAAACTGCATCTACAGTTAATATGCTACTTTCTATGTATTTTAGTAATGCAGAACAAGCAATTTGCATGGATCTAGTTTTGAATAACAATGACTTATATGTAATTTGGTAGACCTTGCCAACAAAAACTTACTATGGCTAAATTTCATTGCTGTTATAAAACCCTGCAACTCAATTTAAAATTATGTCAATGGATAATTTACCACTTGTCACTTCAGCCTAATTTCTTACATTTGATAATCCAATCTACACTGGTTACCTAAATTCATTGCTATCAATGACCGAAATTTATAGCTTTGGCTATGTGATGAGAGTTGATAATGAAAATTTAGTTTGCTTTAGTAATGTTTAAACTTACTTAACAATTAGTGAAGTCAGATAAAGTTCATTTTCGAGTAATTTAGATTCTATTTATAACCCAGCCTATATCTAAATTACTAATAAAAATGAGAAAGACTTAGACCTCATCGATGATGCTACAATAGTATCCTCCAATTTGTTAACCTACAAATCAATTTAAGTACCATCTGAATGCTTAGAAACATACCCTACTTAATATTCTATTACACCACCAACAAAATTATCCACAGTTTACAGCTATAAATCTACTGATTTTTTGAAGTTTATAGTTTTTGATCAATTCATTTATAACAGTCCTCTTACTTGTGATGATGAATACTGGTCCTATTCGATATCAGTCAATCCAACAGCTTCTTTTATTTATTTCATTTAAGGGTCATTAACATATGGAACTAGAGGAGGAACTATTGCAATAATGACTTTTGACAAAAGTAAGGCTGGAGTATACACAGTAACTATTCAGGCTAAAGTTGCGGATACCTATACATATTCTCATATAATATCTCTGTATGTTTTTATGAGTGCACCAATTTCTGGACCTGCTTCTGTTTCTACTAATAATCCCCCTGTATTCGTAGATACTCACAATTTAGATAGTATATAAATGTTCGTTGGTGAACGCAAATTTTATAGTTTTCCTAAATATAGTGATCCAGATGGTAATAAAGTATACATTTCATTATTTCCTTAGTTTTCAAACTAAGAGGTACCACCATTTGTTAAACTGGAACAAGACAGATTGATAGTTGAGCCTCGATTAGGATAGTAAGGTACTTATTATTTCTATGTAGTTTTATATGACGATGATCCAACTGATTCTTAATCTACCTAGTATTCTCTTTCTATTACAGCTAAAAAACTATCATAATTTAGGGGTGTAGCCCCACCTACTATTGCAAATGATGATTATACTGCTGAAACTCTTCCAACTGAAAAAGATTTTGCGTTCAATATAAAATCAATATCTTAAACATAGTTTCTTACAATAGAATTCACTAATCTCATCAGGCTAGATGGATTCGACACTTCCACTGTCAATAATAAAAACATAAATATAGACTATAAATAATAAAATACTTAAGGAAGTAGGTACATTAATAAACTATTGTCTTGGAGATTATATTAAATCTCAGAGAAATTAATGATTCTTAAATTAAATTTTAAGGACAATAATCTTGTGTCATACAATATAGACAAGGACTCTATAAAGATAACTCTACTTAAGCAGATTTTTAAATCAAAAGAAAGTGGAAAGTACATAAATTTGGTGTCAAGAGACTCTTTCATCCCTTCATAAATTTCTTAAGGTATATATTTATCTGCTATAAGTTACTTAAATAGATGAATAAGAATTGATTTAGATGCAAGCAAATGTTGTGGCAAATCTTATAAAAGCATCAATGTTTGGAAGTGTAGCAATGAGTTTTACTCTTGGAATAAGTTTACAACTTTTATGGGGGATGATCAATACTCTTTAACTAATTTCCCATACTCCATTATTCAATATTTAATATCCAATACATGTCAAGATTTTTATTCAAGCATTGTTCAGCATTCTTAATTTAGACATTTTTGATGTTGAGAAAGATCTTTAAGTAATATTTGACTTGAAGGAAAACGATGATTATCCAGAATACAATGAACTATTTACATTTTTAGGCTATGATAACTCAAACTTTATTTATTTGATAGGACTCCCAATTATATTTATACTAATATATACAGCACTAATCCTTGCATTTTTCATTTTATCCTTATTAAGAATAAAAAGGTAAAGAATTTTTCTAGATAATATTTTAGGTCTAAATTCGTCAATATCATGAATAAGATGAAAATAGTTTTATTTTTTGGGCCATTTATCAGAATTGTTTTAGAGTTATGCCTTGAATCATCCTTTGCAATTTACTTATAGTTTCATCTAATTCATTAAGATGAAGTTTCTCAAAATAAAATGCCTCTACTTTTTGCCACTGGATTTTTGGCAGGGAGTACTTTTATTATGACAACAATGCCAGTTTTATTGTTATTAAATAGAAAAGGAAAGATTGGAAAATGGTTCGACTTATATTTTAAAGAGATTATTGAAAATCTATAAACAAATTATGACTCACATTTATATTATCATCAAGTTTTCATTGTCAGACGAGTATTATTTGCATTTACAGTCTTTTACTTTGTCGATCATTTGTATTTTTAGATAATAGCATTCATGTTTTTCAACTTGATTTATACAATTTATTTGATTTATGGATCGCCTTTGGTAGAGGGACTAGGTGTTGAAATTTTTAATGAAATTTGCAACCTTACTTTAAGTTATTTTATCATGATTTACTCTGATTTTTTAGATGATCCAATCACTAAATACAGATCTGGCTATGTCTTTATCAGCATATTTGTATTTAATATGCTTACTAATCTTGTAATTATTGTTTCAGAACTTATTAAATAAGGAATAAATAGAATAAAGGCTTTAAAGTAAAGAATGAAATCAAGAAGAATTTTAAGATATTCAATATTCACAGGAACTCATTCTTAATTGCTTAAATTACTTGATGAAAACAGAAAGAAATTGTCTTTAATGACTAAATTTGATGGGTCTGAATTTGATCAAGAAATCAATTAAAAGTAAAGTGAATACTTTTACAATCATGAGAGTCAAAAATTTAAAAATCTTTAAAATTAGCAAGAAATTTATCAATCATAAAACAACTTGCTTTAGCCTATTAGTAATAGTACGAGTTATTCAATCCTGAGTAAAAATAGATAAGACTTAAATTATGATCAACTATCACATAATTAGAATAAATTGAAAAGTAATCAATTTGATCAATAGAAAATTAGGGATTCATCTAAACTTGGTCATAAAACACCTATGAATGAGGATATACTACTTAATGTTGAAGAATTGACGAATGAAGATATAGAAAATGAGATTATAGATAGATTTGACATTGAATAAGATTAATCCTTGGATTATCTAGATGAAAAATATTCACCTGAAATAAAGAGGAGAAAAAATTTAGATAGTATAAATATAAAGTTTCTTTAATTGGATAGGAATGCATCAAACTTTGAAATCCATCCTGATTAAGATGTTTTCACTACTTAGGCAAAAAATAATAATGCTTAATTATCCTAACAAAAGCTACCATCAAAGTAGCCAATGTTTTCTTTTAAAGAGATTGATTACGAATAAGATTAGCATTTTTACAATCACTAGCATGATGAGCACCAAATGGAGCTATCTTAGGTTGATAGCCATATTTCATAAATCATCAAACCAGTTGCTAGAATAAACAGCATACTTAACTCCCCTTAGTTATAACCAAGATAGATTCCTCTTTTCTTAAAAAGGATGCATGATAAGAACAGAAGCAGTAGTTTTAATTAAAAATCTGCTTAGAAAAGACTTAGCCCTAACCATTTTTTAAAAATGTCAAATTAGTTTCAGACTGTCAATAGGTTTAAGGATGAATTATGATTTAAAATGAAAATAATGCCTATAATTTACAATAGCATTAATAGAAATACGGCTATTTTCATTAAGAATGCTAATATATTTAAATATAAACGTTGAGCATATTTTAATTTAAGATCCTAAGCAAATCGAATATTTTAGCATCATGGGGTTTTGGGGTTTTGGGG